ACTGTTTTCATTTAAAATCAAAGATTTCAAACCGTTGAATGCACCACTCATATTACTTGCTCTAGCATAACTTTGCCCCTTCACCTATATATTTAAAAATATTAATAAAAAAAACTATAAGAAATAAAAATAAAACTAATATCGTATTAAAATTTAAAGGAATAAATATTTTATGATTTCTCACCTGAGTCATACTCAAGTTATTGTTGGAAAAAAGGTATCGATGACGGCTTTAAGAGTCAAAGAAGATGTATCCAACACGCGAACAACTCCAATAAAATTTTCCTTTACCATCTTAAGTCTATCAACATATCTCAAAACTATAGTAATTTGTTCTTTTTTAGAAACATCACTAGACTCATCAACTAAAATAGAAAACACATCTTTACCAATTTCATCACAAATAGACTTGATTATCTCTTTTGAAAAGCAATTGACAATAACTTTTTGAATCGTCGGAGAAGTCAACTTTTCATTTTTTGGAGCATTTTCTAAAGTAACTATAAAATTATTCTCATTATATTCTCTAATCTAAGATAAGACTTGTCACACCCCGAACCAGGATGGCGGAAACGTCCGGGGGCGGATGACGTCATTATATAGTATCATAACAATTGAATATGAATGAAACACAACAACCAACATCATACATTAAAATATACCAACATACATTGTTTACAAATTGTATATGTTCACAAATTTACACAAAAGTGACATAAACTACGATGCTCCAAAATGTAGCAAATATCCAAAATCCATAACCCAAATACCTGCTCACTGAGTCCCTGAGAATACAAGTCGTTTTGAAAAGCGACAACTAAAAAGTTGGTGAGTTCATAAGCATATTTGTATAAAAAGCTTTGTAACATCTTTGATTGTAATAATTTGTAAAACTCTAGAAAATTTGATATTTTCTGTGAAAAATGGTTTGTAGTCTCGTTCTAAAACTGGGAATAATTGCATGTGTGTCCTTTGTTTTCGTTTGTTTGTAATTAAAAAGAGTGTGCGTTCCCAGAAAATCTCATATTTCCTGTTTTATGAAAAATTGTAGTCTTAAAACCCTAAGACTGGAGTAGTAACAGTAAGGTACAAAAGTGAAACATAGTTTTATATTTTATAAGACCAGTGAAGTGTATAATTTCGTAAATCCAAAATAACATCTGTTAATCCCTATGTGAGTCGTTACAACCATGGTTGATACGACTAAAATGCCTGTCATGACGTTCTTCAGGCGTCGGTTTCGGTAAGATATTTGTCACCCTATATTGGCCTAGTCTAGCTGTAGCGAACATCTTAGGTGTGGGGGTGTCAACCTCGTATTGATCTATACACAATTACCTCGCTCTCCCTTCAGGAGACTCTAGTTATAACTACAGGACTTACGGTGTACGCTAGGTAGGTACGACGAAGGAAAGTATCAAAAGTGACTTAACAGATTTACGCGAACTTTGACTCCCATTATTGAATAATGAAAATAACATTACTAGTGTAAATTCATGACTGCAGTTTTATGACGCGCATTTTTCTCTGTCGTAATAATTCTGTTTTGTATACCGTTTTAGTTAAATTAATTATAACACTTTTTATAAATAATAGTTAATGGACTTGTCTACTTGTAATATATGTTGTGGAAATAATATAATCCTCTAAGTTTTCAAACTATTAAAATGGTGACAAAATATTACAACTATTTTACTAGTAAAAATTATTTTTTAGTAAAATAATCAAGTTTTGTACTTTGTTTAACAACCAAAATTTAGTTCAGGAGTTTTGTAACACAAAATATACTATTTTGGTGTGACTCGAGCATGTCACGATTTTTACAAAAATACATATAGAAATCTTGAAATTTATTATATTCCATTATTTGTGTAAGTATATTTGTTAAAATTTCATATGACCAAAAGTTAATCATTTTTTAGTGTAAAACCCATATTTTCACCATTTTGAGTGAACAAACATATCCACAAAAATTTGATAGCACAAAAATGTTATTAACATATACTCTATGAATTTTAACATATATTAAGAACCTTTTTAGCGGTGAGCTTGTTTCATCTTCAACACATAACCATGATACATGAAACTTTCCAAAGGATAAATTTACTCTAGCCTCATGAGGCTTGTAAATCTTGAGTTATGGAATATTAGCATGAAGTATTCAACATTTCAAACACAAGTAGTTACATAAACACATAAGTGCATGCAAACATCCAAAGATTTAAACAAAACTTTACTTGTATCCCCCCCCCCCAAAGGATGAAAAACACGAAAATAATGGGGTATGAAGCTCACCTTGGTTGATTCTCGAGATGTAGAAGAAGAAGAAGAAGGAAATTTCGAGCCTAGCTTGTCTTGGAGATATCACTCGAAAATGGTGTCTAAAAGCTTAATACACAACAAAAGGAGTGTGTAAATGGAATGTTCTTAGCATAAACTTGTAATAAAACACTTTGAGTTTAACATGGACTTACCAAGAAGCCTAGAATCGATTTTTGATGATGATGAACTCGAGATTTTTGAGAGAAGAATGAGGGGAGTTTTTTTTAGAATAAGTGAAGAAAATGAGGTTGTGAGGTGTATGGAAGGGGGGGGGGGGGGACAGCCGATGCATAAAGAGAGAGGGGAGAAAAAGAGTTGACCTCTCTAACACTTGATGGGATGTGCATGGGTGTATGGTGGTCAAAGGCTTAGATGCATGCTAGATAAAAATGAGGTGGCAATGTATTTCTCTATTATTTTCCCATTTTTTTTATTTAAGCCAATACCGACCCATAGGGTTCTCGGCCCAAAGGGTGGCCCAAAAATAGTGGGCTTCGATTTTTGGCTTGGCCTAATAGGAATTTTCGGCCCAATAAGAGTTTTCGGTCCATTAAAGCCTAAGGAAAAGGTTTTCGGCCCAAGAGGCGCAAAGGAAAGCTCTCGGCCCAATAAGGCTTAAAGAAAAGGCTTTTCGACCCAATAAGGCCCATTAAAGGGTTTTCGGCCCAAAGGAAGGCCAAATAAAAGTTTTCGGCCCAACAAGGCCCATTAAAGGGTTTTCAGCCCAAAGAAAGAGTTTTGGTCCAATAGAGGTTTTGGGCCGAGAAATCTTGGGCTAAGGCCCGAAATTGATTGGACTTAGCTATTGGATCGAGTTTTGGGCTTTTACAAGGCTTGATTCACAATGTATGAACGTATGAACTTAAATAGCATTATAGTTTGAATTTCACTAAATGGAATGTTGCAAGGTTACATGGAGGAAATTGTCTTGTACAAGGATCACAATCTAATCCCTAATTTTCTAGTTGTGACAAGGCTTCAATGAAAAGTATTTTATTATTAGACTTTTCCGTCTCATCATGTCCACGAAATGGTAATGTATTTTTCAATAAAAATCTACAACTACGGATTGTAGCATTTAATCAAATTTCATAATTAATTTTCTCAAGTTCCGTCTTCTTATGCAAGACTTCACCAATAGATTGGTTTTTTCTCAATAGCAAATCACACTTTTTTTGGCCTTATGGTGATAACTTTGAATATTACCCATATGTTTCCGGAATGAGCCTTTTTTACTCCAATGGTCAAAGCCTTCAGTTATAAATGCATCTCTTCCACTTTGTTCCATTACCATGTCTCCAAACAAGTAGCAATAAAAACAATATGCCTTCTTATTTTTTATGCTATACTCTAACCATGGAAAATCAGTAAACTATTGCACAACAAAACGTCTTGGCTTATTACTAAATAAGGTATATTCAAAACTATGCCCCTTTGGTTGACAAGACTCATTAATAAAATATGCCCTCCTTATTTCATCTATTTGATTAGGATTATAAGATGTAATCTTTGGCCTATCCCTCGGGTCCGAAAGGAGATCATTCAAATCAAAATATTATGTCACTTTTGGTTTTTGAGTATGTTCATTAGATTGTGTAAATTGTGGTTTTGGCATAGGTTGATTAGTTTGTGGAACTTGATTACTTTCATTTGCCCTATTTTTTTGGAAGTTCCTTCACCATTGTTGTCTCCAACATCTAAATGTCCTATGAAAAAACTTTTAATAGCAACCTGCAATCAAAATATACGAACTATAAACTTGATTTTAATTTTCAAGTTTCAACAACAATCAACAAATAACAACATACAACCAAATTAGAAATTATCAAGATATATCAACTATAAACTTGATTCCAAGTTTCAACAACAAATGAACAAATATCAATCTACAATCAAAATATATCAACTATAACTTGATTTCAAGTTTCAACAACAAATTATCATTAAGTATCAACCCTAAGTCTCTAATTTAACAAAGTTAATTGTTAATTTCTAATTTTTCAAACATAATGACAAAAATTGGAATTTGAATTGACCTAAATACATAATAGGATTGAGTATTTTGGTTATACTAACTTGTTTCATTGTGATGGAGGAGAAGGGGGTGGCCGGAATTCTCCCTCCGGCAGGCCGCAAGCGACGACAATTGAGACGAGTAAGGGCTGTAATGTTAACGATCAGATGAATAACAAAAGACGAGTCGTCCAATCGACTCGAAAATTGAGAATACGTTTACGTTTGATTTTTTTTTTTCATTTACCTATTGGGCTTGATACCTATTTGTTTCAATAAACTAGTTGGTGTGGGCTTAATTTTTTTTTGACCATTTGGGCTAGTTTGTATTTTGACCATTTAGAAATAACCTCGAATTTTTAGGGTAACCCAATTTTTTTCCGATATAAAACCGCAACATCAAACGAATTTTTCGAAAAAATTAACACTACTAATTTTTTTTTGAGGGGTATATCGGGATACCCCGAGATCTATAATGGATACGCCTATGCTCATAAAGTACCACGATTAAAAATGTACGCATCAATAACAATTCATTCCATGGTTGCAAACACAAAACATTGGTCGTGTAAATATTAGCAATAAAACATGATAAAATACAATAACAAACTCTATAAAATTACATATAGTTGGAATTTATTAACCAAGTTGATATACAACAAAAGGTTGATGGTGGAGACAATTGACTATGGAAATGATTGTTTATAAGATGTTAAAATACAAGTACACTCATATAAAACGCTTACAACTTGTGACATTCTCGTAAGCCATCCCTCAAATTAGAACTCTTTACAGAACAAACAGATCATAAATCATTTTGGAAATGTCTGCAGTTGATGGATTACTTTCTCCAAACTAATAATGGAAGAACCAGAAGGATAGGCGCATGCCTCATTTGCCTTATCTTTCCAGTTAATGGCATTCTTCCTCATCTCATTTCCTTTTTCTTTTGTCATCAACTCAATCACTAGCCTCTCAACTTCATCTCTTTTTACATCATTGTCAATCTCCATGGCAACCCCCCATTGGTTGCAACTCAACCAACAATTTGTTAGTTGATCTGCAAAAAATGGCCAAGAAAGCATTGGCACACCGTTTGTTAAACTTTCAATAGTTGAATTCCATCCACTATGTGTCAAAAACCCTCCTATCGAGGGATGATTTAGAACTTGTTCTTGAGGGCACCACCCAGCCATCATCCCTCTACTACTTGTCTCTCTCAAGAACTCCAATGGAAGTGCTTCTGACTCGCCATTCACTATCCCTGGTCGTAATATCCACAAGAACTGCTGATTACTATTAGCAAGCCCCCAACAAAACTCGACTAGTTGTTGATGTGACATGACAGTGATGCTACCAAAGTTCACATAAACAACTGATGATGATGCTTTTGAGTCTAGCCATTTCAAACATTCGGGTTCTTCTTTCCATAGATTTGATTCGATAGATGCTAGGGATTCATCAACAAGTTGCTTTTCGAGTAAATGCAAAGGACCGATGGCATAACATGGAGGAAATACTGAAGCAAGTGTAGCCAAGATGTCGTGTTCTAGATCATCGAAAGTGTTGAAAATAATGCCAGAGGCTGTTTTGGCCTTGTGAAGTTGGGTATTTGTAAATTCTACCATGAATTCATCGCCAGGGTTGACAATTCTCATGAAAGGCGGAATATTTTTTAGAGGTATACCATGCATGTTTGGTATACAATCTACAACTGTATCCAAATACCCATTTATCACGTAACTTGAATCTGAAAATAAAGCATATGAAAAAGAGCCCAATTAGCACCTAAACTTTACTTTCATATCGAACATTGCATAGTATTATAGTTAACGATGTGACATTTGGTTATGCGTCATAATTAATAAATTTATTATTAATTAAAGTATTATCGATCTATGATAGTCCGAAAAATCTTGTTTCTTTGTTGCGTTGCAACGTAATTTGTGAAGGTTTTCTAAAAAGTATCATTTTTAAAATATTTGACCGATTTTAATATCATAAATGAGTGTTTTTCTTTTTTAAAATAACATATATTTCAGACTAGATTTTAGGAGTGTTACTTATAAAAATACCATAGTTTATGGTTTGGTCATATTTAATTCCCTAAGTTTTTTAGTCTAGACGTTACCATTGAACTTGTTTGGATATAATTGGTTGATGTAGGTTTTAATTGGTTCAATGGTAATATGTTGGTTGCCAAAAAGCATACTAAATATAAACAAAATCTAAAGTATCTTATCTTCACCAACTAATCATAAGGAGATAAAATGAACAATTTAAAAAGATTCTGATGATAATATGTAAATAAATTTAACAAACGAAAATAAATAGTAAAACTTAAACTATGTTACAAGTTATTAACCGATGTTAGGATATTAAATGAAGTATCATGGTAGTATGCAAAATATTGTTTGTTTGACGTAATTAGTGAAGATATGATTTGTTTTATATATCCTGCCCGATTTTAATATCATATGTGGAATTGTGGATTATGTATTTGCACCGAATATCCCGAATAGTTGAAAGACTTTTCAATCTCAACAATAAAATAATAATTTCCATTTAGAAAAAAAAAAGAATTTTTCTTAGCCGATGATTGATGATGTATCCAAGTTGAGATTACCTTTAAGCGGCATCAAACCGTTGTCCACAAGATTAGGATACTGATCGTAACAAATAAGTGCACCAGCTCCACCGGTATATAACAGATACGCCGGGATACCAAGTTCTTTTGCGGCGTCGATGGTGAAGCCCATAAGTAGGTCGGAGACTATGCACGTCACCGGTGAAAACGACTCACTCAATTTGGCGATGAGGGTTTTGAATGGACCTAAACAGTTTTCTTGGATGGACCTGCATATATCGTAGACATTTTGGGTGGCGTCAAGGTTTTCCGGCGGTGGAAGGCCGTCGGGAATGGACTCAAAACGGAAGGAAGGTATGCCGTCGAGGGCGTCAGAGCCTCGAGATCTTAGGAGGCGTTGGTGGTTGAATTCTGTGTTGACAAAGGTGATTAAGAAGCCTTTCGAATGAAGGATTTTTGCAAGTTTTGGCATCGGAGTTATGTGTCCTTGTGCAGGGACTGGTATGCAAATCGCATGTGGCTTCTTTACATGGCGAGAATCCATTGAAAGCGCACACACACACACACTCGAAACAACAAACTCACAATGTTATAACTTAAGGTTATGAGTTATGACTATTTGTAGGCAAAAAAGTGAAGATATATATATTTTGTCATTTTGGACATGTAAACGATGTTTGAAGACATGTGTACATATTGTAGAAGTTGAAGTTCAAATCAAGCACGAAAGTCTTTTCCTGACGTTATATGTACATATATTTTTGTAAATTTATCGACATGGATATATATGAAAAGGGTAAAAACGTATGATTCCTTATAATAGTTTTGCTTTAATTAAACTGTTTTTGGTTTATTTAATATTTCAGATTGAAACAAGAAACCAAGAGTGGAATCATTAAGGAAATTAAGCAAATAGAAAAATCTAAACATATCTTAGATTAGGTAATTATGTTGCTATTAGACTATGCCCATCGGTAAATAAATGTTTGTTGGGTTGGTCTTAAAAACATTAAAAAAATCAAAAGTCTTTCAAGAATCTACGGAATATGTCTTTATATCAACCATGTTTGGCCATTTCTTTATTAATTTCTTCTTTTTGTAATGTTGGATAAAAATATATGAGTGTTTACTAAAATTTAATATTAAAAAACAAAGAAACTTATTTCTAATTATATTATGTTTATTTTCTTCTAGGTATATGTATCATAAAAATAAATATAAGAAATTATCAAATATTATAATTTTTATTCCCTAATATCGATAAATTTTCATATCCAATTCTGATCTTTATTTTTTATCTTTTTCGCTTTTATATTTTCTGTTATGTATCCTTCGTTACAAATATTATGTATTTTGTACCTTTTAAATATGTAATTATATATTTCATGTTATATTTGTAATTTGATTTATCCTTTTTATTAAGTATGTTTGAGGAATGTTATATATTTTTATATCAATTTTTTTTAATATTTTTATATCTTAAATAAATAAATTATATGTTTCTAAAATAATAATGCTTCTAAGGCTAGAGGGAGTGGCCTCGCCACCCCTCTCGCTAAAAAGTCGCCAACTAATGTTAAGTCACTCCTTTAATACTCGCTAGTTGATTCGTTAAGTATGGATCATCATGGACTCAGCGAGAAGTGAGATAAATATTATTAGGCTGATATTGGTTGTTTACTTTTTAACTATAAAACTATTGGTTGTTTGTTTTTTTTTTCTTTTTCAACATAAAACCTATTTAAAATCAAACACTACAACTCCCTATATTTTTTGTGTTATACATGCTAAGCCTATGTGTCATAAAAAAAACTAAAAAAATCCTAGATGGCAATGTGCTAAGAGTGTTACCACTCCTTCCAGTCTAATAAGTTTTATTTGAATAAAAAGGAAATATAAGTTATATTTATTTAATAATAAAATGGTTTCCATTTGGGTTGTTAATAAGAGTGAAAGTTAGAATTTGGTTGGGTTGTATAAGTGGAGGAAAGAGAAATTAATTTTTTTAATGAATAGTTACGTTGGCTTGTAGTTATGAATGGGGATAATCTTATAGTATTATGTCGTCTCTGCATTTGTCACTGCCTTTTCGTCGTTGATGCTGTTGTGGACGTCGTTGTTGTAGCTGTGAGTTGTTTAATTATTATGTGAGGGTGAGAAAAAAAGCAAATAGGGTTTGATATTGATTTTGATAGGATATTTAATAATTTTTAATTTGAAATTCTAATGTTATATAATTAAATAATTAATTAGAGTAAATTACAAGGATAGTCCCTATGGTTTGGGGTAATTTTGCATGTTTGGTTTCTAATTTTTTTTTTCTAATTCGGACAGTCCTCATGGTATGTTTTTATTGCGTCTATGGTCCTTGCCAGACATAAAATGACTATTTTTGTCCTTAATGATTATTTTTATTTTGTTTCAGTTATTATTCAATAAACTAAATTTATTAAAGACAAAATTGCAAAAATGGTCCCTGTGGTATGCATTTTTCTGGGGTTTTATTCCAAACCCCGACTTTTTTGGCTCCGTGGTCCTTTTGAGCTAGTTTCGTTGCATTTTTGATCCCTCTAAATAGTGAAATGACTGTAATACCCTTGGGTTATTTATTTTTCATTTTTCTTTCATTTCTTTTTAAATCTAATAGTAATATATTTATTTTAATAATTCATAAATTAAGAAGGGACCCACCTTCTCTCTCTCTCTCTAGGAGTTCTTCTTCCTCAAAAATACACAACATTCAAGTGGCTAACTACAGGAACTAAAACCCCTCTAATGAGTTCAAATTTTCTTGATCATAAAAACTTAAATGATTCACAGCTTCAATAAACACACATAATAAATGATTAATCTGATGAAAAAACCAGATGAATTTGTTTTCACATTGTTTCAAATGCAATCACAGACCTTTGAATTCAAGATTATAAACCGAAAAGAAACTAAAAACCCGGATGAACCCAAACCATCGAGAAATCGACCAGATAACAAACCAAGATGAATTTAAGCTTTAACTGCAACTTGCTACATCAAATCCATCACAAAAACTAAAATTAATCCAAATTGCTAAACACTGGACCGAAATATCAATCCCTGAAAAAAAAAACCCAGATGAAATCAATTTCCAAGAACAATTGCTCAGATCGAGAACTCGCTCATATAACTAAACCCAGATGAAATTAGTTTCAAATAACAACCTCACAACATCAAATTTGTGTTCAAGGACATACGAGATAGGAGTATACGATTTGCATCAGGTTAAGATGCAAGAAAGTTAAACTAAGAACAGGGGTATGTTTATGTAAAGATATTTGAACCCTTATTGAACCTGATGTGTATGTCGACTGGCACAAGGATACCCCCAAATTTTTTTTGCAGGTTTCTGTAAAGAAGATGATGATCAAGGGAGAATAATTTGAACTCTAGAATGATCAGTGTAGTAGGGAAAAACTTGTCTGATACATAGAAACGCACCTGAGGACCACATCTTCAACTGCCCTTACCTTTGAACTTCGATTGATCCGTGTATCAAGGAAAAATCATGAAGGGGAGGAGTCATCTTACTAAAGATAAGAGATGGTTTGAACCCAAACCAGATGGTAAGTTTGGGTTGAACCTCGCCTTCAACCTCTAATAACCACCAGTCGCACCTCTGTATTCGAACACCCAAAACCACCATCGATCCTTCGCAGCTGCTACTACCATCTACCTTGAACCAACGAGCCAGAAACTACGAATCCCCTTTCACATGTTTTTTTATGTTTAGGAGAGAGAGAGAGATATGTGGGCCCAAATTAATTATTTATTTTCCTTTTCATTTAAATTGAATAGAAAAAACATAAAAAATATAT